GCTAAATTTATCAAACTTTATATATCCACAGACTTTTCACCCAAAATAGCATAAGAAAACAACTAAGCATTTATTTTTTTGGTCTCTCTTGGAATAACAGCATGGAGGCATAGATAGTCCCCCAAATATCTGTGGCTGAAGGCTGTCAGGTTACCCAGGACCACGGTTGTGAAGCTGAAAAGAAATAGCAGGAAGACCCTCATTCTGAGCCTGCTTCCTCTCCGTGGACAGTTCTTCAGCTCACCTGTCACAAAACTGCCCCGTGGAGGAGCCACTCTAACCTCAGGCTCCCTCCCGCCTCCTCCCTCTGAAGATTTGGCCGGAGCCCTGCCAGGGCGTGGTCACTCCAGGTGTCACAGCATCTTCCTGGCAGCTCAGCCCTAACTGGCAAGACCGGCAAATCCAAGCACGCCCTGTATCGGCCTTTTATAAGTTGTACTTTTATATTTTCTTCTCACTGTCTAGAAATTGTTTTTTCCAGAAAAGTGAAAGTTACTGCAAACAAAGGTGGCATCACACTGTGGCAGGGCCTGTCCCGGGGCCCTGCACCCGCCTGACACAGAAGCTAAATGCCTTCAGTACTTTTGAGAAACCATCAAAGGTTGTGCTGAATGATACTTGTAAGAGCCTCACTGTTCGTTCAGAAACGGAGACGCCTTTCTCCCGCACTTGAAAAAATCACTCCTGCTTTTCATCTCCCCCTCTCAGAGTGTAAACATTGTTTTGAGTGAAAAGAGCTGAAGGAGAGCTTACTTTCCCTTGAAATTTTATTTTTAAATAAGAGAGGGAGAAAATCCTTTTCTGACTAATACTAATAATACAGGTCAAAGTGCCAGGCGATACACAATTACATGGAAAACAAAACCGGTTCCCCCTCGTTCCCACAGCACAAAGGCCTTGGGATATAAATCACCGATGAAGATGAAATAACGCTTCAAAGCTGAGGGGCATTTCTGTGGCCACGGAGACAGTCAGATGATGGTAACCCTGGACAGGAGGGCGTCCCTGAATAGTCAGAAACTAGCATGAGGCAGGACTTGAGGTCCCCCAGCCTGCGACCCCGGGGCATGCTTTGTCTCCCCAGGGCAGCTGCAGTTATCCACAGTTTGAGCAGCGTCTCGGAAAGGACCCACCTACCTGGGGAGAGGCACAATACAGAAAACATTGCCCAGCTATTCCAGCTGCATTAATCTCCCAACTCCCAGGTTTCTGGGGCATCCATAGGTGTTTTTGGGGGAGACTAGTTTTGTGTGGCTGTGAGGGTGGGTGGCCCCTGCCATAAATTTCTGCCTGTGGCCATGTTGGGACAGAGATGTTCGTCATGCTCTGTTGACCCTGATTGTTAGCTATAGTTATAAAAAATATTAATCATGTTCTGTTAACCGTGATTGTTCTGTTCCAATTAGGAAAAGCACTTTCTGCCCGGCCTGCGTGGCTCAGCGGTTGAGCATCGACCTAGGATCCAGGAGATATCGGTTTGATTCCCTGTCAGAGCACATGCCTGGGTTGTGGGCTCGATCCTCAGTAGGAGGCGTGCAGGAGGCAGCCGATCAATGACTCATCATTGATGTTTCTACCTCTCTCTTCCTTCTTCTCTCTGAAATCAATAAAGACATATTATAAAAAGTTTAAAAAAATAAAAATAAAAGAAGAAAAAGAAAAAGCACTTTCTAACCTGGCTGGAAGTTGTACACCTGGGACATGGGAATTACCCCGGAATGCGGTCAATTCTCTTTTTCCGAGAACTGCCCATCATCATGGAAAGATTAACGGCCTCGTTCCCGAAACCATGGAGGCCCGGAGGCACCTGCCCTTTGCTTCCCCAGGCCTGTCATTCCTACTTCCCCATGTAATCTTTGTCCTTCTACCCAACATAAGCAGCTGATGTAAGCAGCTGACAGAGCAGGTTTTATGTGGATGGACCCCTGCTCTCCCATATTGCGGCAACATTGGAATAAACGCTCACATACGAGTCAGCCCCGTCTCTGCTTAACTGGCTCCAGTGGTAACGGGCAGCCCGAACCCACTGTTGTCTAGCACAGAACACAAATAATCTTTCTTGATTAAGTTCAGCCTAAGAGAGTAACATTGTAAATGACCCTAAATTTCACCAACTCAGACACTATGGAAAATAATTGTTTATGACCTGCCTTTTTTCTTAAGCATCCATTTCATCTATTATTTGTGGAATTAACACAAAAACACAGTATTTACACTCTATGTGTAATGTTAATTTTAAAAATGGAGGAAAACCATTTTATGGGAAGGATTCATTTAAGGCAAAAAAATTACAGAAAGCTTAGATTTATTAAAAAAACTGTAAGAAGAGATAACAACTGAGAAAACTCAGCAGTCTAACATTTTTTATGTGAGAACAGAGCCTTACAATTGATGATTAAAAGCTGACATTCAGCTTCAGGAAAGTCTGATACTGAAACTGACGGCATGACAAGACTCACAGTCAAGGAACGTCCCCTGTTCCTCCCAGCGCCCGAGCTCCCAGGCTCCCAGCGCCTGTGACAGCGCAGTAGCTCCCTACTGTGCGCTGGGCCCTGACACCATAGGGAGAGCCAGCAGTCGTGGTTTCGTAATCTACAGCTCACTGAGTTTAGTCAAAGAAAATGATGCTCCAAGTGCAGAGGCTCCGGGTTACACTCAGGAGGCTGAAGAAGCCCAGGGGGCTGATGCGTGGAGCTGAGCAGAAGCGTCTTACATTCTGTCTGCCTCTGATTCCCCAGTGGCGACGTCAAGGCAGGAAGGGGACGGAAAGCGCGAGGAATAGTGAACCGACACCTGAAACAGCCTCACAGCCACGAGCCGCTTGTCTCCCCCTCACACTCGCCCCCAGAGGCAGCGGGACCTGAAGTCTTTCAGCTAATGTTACCCTCGCTGGTGACTTCAGGGTGGACCCAGGAGGAGCCCCGCGGTGCCGCTGTGTGCCCCGCCTCTCTCAGGCCACGTGGGAAATTCAGGACTTTCTAGGCCCAAAGGTCGAAGCAGGGGTCCTGCCCTCTCTTCCGTGGAAGCCTCGTCAAGTCCTCACAGGCCACCCAGCATCTACGGCCACCATCAGTAGCCGACCAATGGGAAAGAGGCTTCTATTGAAACTGGTGCCACCCCCTTCGCACAAGTCCCCTCCCCTTCACCTGGCCCCTCTCTGTCCAGTTCCCTGCTCAGGCTCCTGGCCTGTCCCCCTGGTCACCACCCCACTCTTCTCATCAGGACAGTGGCTCTCAGACGCTAGCACTGAAGTCATCTGAGGGCTGGTCTGACGCTGGCTGACAGACCCTCACGCCCAGAGCCCTTGGCCTGGTGACTGGACTGGGCCCAGGAGTGAATTTCCCTACATCTCCAGCGACGCAGCTCCTCTGTGCGAGGTCTCACTTCACCATCGCTACTCAAACCTGCGCTATCAGTGACTTAGTCGCCTTGGCCACACGTGGCTAGTTATGTAGAAATTGAAAAAAATAAAATAAAACTAAAGAAAATTCAGTTCTTCAGTCCTACTGGCCACATTTCAAGTGTGTAGGAGCCACGTGTGCCCGGGCCTGATCCGGGGGGGGGAGTCGGGGAGCAGAGAGCCTGTCTCTCGCCGCCAGGCGTCCTGCCAGGCCAGGCTTCCTGCAGAGCAAGCCCACCTCAGACCTCCTCACCTGGGGTCCCTCCAGGGAGAACCAGAGGGGACAGAGAAGGGCAGAACCACCACCACAGACCGGCCTGTCCCCTGGGCAGGGTCAGCGCCCTGCACGGCAATGTCCTTCTTGGTAAAGGGGGGTGATGACAGGAATAATTGCTGCAGGGCTGCATTTAGAATTGAACGAGAGGACACTTGCTCATGTGCCTTGCAAACTGCACAGTGATATAAGTTATAGTTACCGCTGCGCCCTCACAGCCGCTAACACGAGCACCCTCACTCAAACCCTGGCTCACCCGCGTTTTCCCGACCCCCTTCCTTCGCCTGCAGCCCCTGTCTGCTTAGCCCAGTTGGTCTGTGTGTCTGTTTTTGGGGGGCGGAGAAGGTGGGGGCTTTACTGCTTCTAATAAATCTGCAAAGATGCTGTGATGTAGATCAGGGTCTTTCCTGGATTTTTGTTTTGAAGGCAAAGAAAATGTCTATACATTTATCTGTCTATGAAATAAAAAGTTTGGAATATTGTCATGGCTTGTAATTCCTGGTCTCCAGACAAACGTATTTTTATGTAAGAAAAAAATGCATATAAGCTAATACCCTCTCTTCCTGGACAGCCATCTAAGACAACGTGGGTAAGAAACAACATTTGCAAAAAGGAAGCCAGTGCCTCTGGGGCTCCCTCAGAACTGGAGCTGAATCCTGAACCCAGACCCGCCGGTCCTGGTCCTTCCATGGAGGCTCCAGTCTGGTCAATTCCCAGGGAGAGGGCTCAGGAGTACGCCTGTCAGTGGCTTTGACACGACGCTTCCTCAGCAGCCTGAATGGTGCGGAGACGGGGTGTAGACAGGACCCCAGCCCTCAGTAGCTCAGACTGCAAGTCACAGGGATGGAATAGTGGTGAGTTCATTTACAGGGTGGGGCAAAAGCAGGTTTACAGTTGTGAGTACGCAGAACACAGAGTTTATTCTCGTATTATTTATTAATTATTATATTATTTTCCATATAGACGACTATAAACCTACCTTTGCCCCCCCATGTTTAAGCTACCCAACTTTTAGAAGGTAGTATTTCGAAGCAAAAATGCATCATGTCAGGGGAATAAAAACGGCTTTTCTGGCCAGCAGATGGGTGAGTGTTTCAGGAGACAGGTGTCCCTGGAGACCCTTCTCCCCTCACTTATCTGGTTTCCCAACAGAGCCGCCCCCCACGATGCTTTTCTGAAAGCTGTTTCCCTCCCATTAGTCAACCTGGCTAAGGTGACCGAAAGGGGACAGGCTGTCTTATGCTTCAAAGAAATTCAATCTATTGCAGCACTTACGGCTAAACGCCTGGCTGGGGTCAGAGGAACAGGTGGCACGGGTCTTCCTACCAGTAACCGTTGCAGGCTGGCGCCAACCACGTCGTGCAGGTCTGTTTTGTCCTCGGGGCCCGCGGCGTGTCTGTATTGCCACTTCTCAGGCACGAAGGGCCACTTCATGTCCTTTGCCTCCTGGAGGAGGGTCCTCAGCTCATCGGGGAATGAAGCTGGAAAGGTCAGAGTTCAGGTGAGGAAATGGCACTCAGAGAAAAGGCTGTGATGAAGCGCCTCGGCGCAGCACCGCCTCCCCACGCCCGCGCTGGCCTGAGCTCCGTCCAGGCTGCCAGAGCAGGAGCTGCGGTGCGGCCGCCTGCTTGGCCCTGCCCTGCAGGCAAACGGGGGCGGGCAGGCGCGAGGCGGGGTTCAGCAGGAAGCGAAGCGCCGCCGCCGGGACTGCGTGAGGAGTCAGACAGGATGAGGGAGATGTGATTTTCCCTGTAAGGTGAGAGGGGACTGAGTCCAAGTGGCACCTGGGGCCGTGGCGGCTGGGGCTGCGCAGTCAGCCTTACAACAGCGCTCTCCGGACCTCACGCCCTCGCAAGCCCGAGCGGAATCTGAAGGGGCCTCAGTCCACTGTGAAATGCCCTTGCTTCTCTTCACGCCACCAAACCCACGCACTCACACAAGCCCACCATCTCCCACCCAAGCCTGGTAAACGCCCAAACGCCCTGGAAACCTGAAGGTTTTTTCTTAAGTTTGATACTCAAAGTGACCTGAAGTGACTGGAGGCTATTCCAGTTGTTTATCCTGCGAATGAAGGCGCCCAGCTCCCGCTGGATGCGGGCCTCTCTGCGGCACAGACACCACGGCGCCTCCGGGCCCCCCGGGAACCTG